ACCTCAGTCCAACAACCCCTTGGCCCCTTCTTCATCTACCCGTCACTTACTGCTTCCACACATTTTAATGTTCTTAATATTTTTTCCTTTCTATTCATGTTATTTCAACTACAGATATTTGAAAATAATGCAAAAGGCAAATATACAGATGCAAAAGGCAAAAATATATTGAGGAGCTGGTGGCTCAAACCTGAAATCCTAGCTATGGAGGAGGCTAAGATTAAAAGATTTGAAGTTCAAGATCAGCATGGGCAAAAAGCTCACAAAATACTGTATCAACAGAAATAGCTGGATGTAGTAGTATACACTTGACATCCAAGCTACAGTGGATAGCAAGCATGGGCAAAAAGAAAGACTCTATTTCAGTAATAACAAAAGCACAAAGTCTGGAGGTATGGCCCAAGTGGTAGAGTGACTGTTGAGTAGGAGCAAAACCCTCAACTCAAACTCCAGTACCACTTAGAGAGAGAGAGAGAGAGAGACAGAGAGACAGACAGACAGACAGACAGAGACAGAGATACAGAGAGACACACAGAGAGAGACAGAGACAGAGAGACAGAGACAGAGAGAGAGAAACAGAGAGAGGGAGGGAAGGAAGGAGAGAGGGGAAGGAGAACGAGAAGAAGAAAAAGAGGAAGAGGAAGAAGAAGAGGAGGAGGAGGAAGTGGAGGAGGGAGAAGAAGAAAAAGAAAAAGAGGAAATAAAATATGTACATTGAAAAATGTTCAAGACAGCAGATATTTTTCAGTGTTGCTGAATGAGCAACTACCCAGAAGTTATGCTCATTACATACTAGCAGCTAATGTGATGACAAAGAATGTAAACATCTAAAAATCTGTATTTTAAAGTATGAATTAGACACTCAGGGTTTGACATAAAAATAGATATTAGTAGATGGAAGTAAGTATGGCCTTTTCACCAAGAAAATGACCATGTTATTGGGTTTAGAAGACCCACACCTCAACTTTAACTCTAGAGAAAAGTATGAAATTAAGTGTTAAGCCATCAAGAAGCTTAATATACAGTGAGAATAGTACTTTTATCTCTGGAAGGTGCAAAGCAACATTCACCAAAAGTCTTGTCCAGAAAGAGTTGAGTTGAAATGAAAATTTAACAAGAAATGCCTAGTAACTTCAGTGTATTTAGTAACTCCTACTGTTAAGAGAGGTCAGAATACCATAATCCCACACAGGACCTAAATTTCTTAGTTGAGTTGCACAGAACATGAATATTACATGGATTCCAGCAAGAAAAAAGCACAATGATGGTACCATGACTCTTGGAAGCTCTCGAAGGGTGAAGGCACTAGGCTGCCTTTCAGAGAGAGGAAAGCATCGTTGTGAAGATAGGGATATGAGTGTTGGATATCCTGCCAAATCATGGGTAAGATCTATAAATCTATCCTAGATAGCATACACTCTGGGAATAAAGATTTATAGGAGAAAGACAAATAAAAACATGAATGAATAGAATTTCAAAATTTTCTCATCTGATACAATAATCGAAAAAAAATATAGCTAAAGAAATATGCTAAGAAGCAACAGCAAATTTTTGCCCCCCTGATTCTAAGCTGTCAAAACTCCACCATTGGTGAAATAATCTACACTATAAAGAATCTTTTCTTCCTATCATAGCCTATAGATATAGATAGTACAACTCTTTGAAATATCACATCAGAAAGAGAAGGAAAAAAAAAGTAACAAGTCGAGTTACAAGTGTAATTCATTCTTTGTGTGCTTCCAAGAAGAAAAACAGTAAGCAAAATAAGTACACTCAGCAAAGAGGTCTTCACTAGATACCAATAATTGTTAAGGTGAAAGTATTGTTTAATATGATTTACAAGAGGGAACAAAAGGAACACTGATTAATCTGCAGAAACAGGTTTAGGATTAATCTACAGAAATAGGTTTAGATAAGATCCAATAGAGATTTTAGTCCCTATAAGACTTTTACCATACAATTTTATTTGCTACACTGGCTTCTTGAATCTTTGAAATTCAGCTCAAATTGTTGATCTTTTTTATTTTTTTTATTTTATTGTAAAGATACTGTTGCATGAATAAGCTAATGAGTACATTTCCTATGGAGCATTGTTACCCCTCCTTTGTTTTGCCCCTACCATCCCTTCCCTCCCTACTTTCCCAACTCTTCTCTGACCACCCCCATCAAGTTGTAAAGTTCGTTTTAAACATAGTGTCTTGTACATCTCATTGTTACAATGGGTCAACCTGTATCCCTGTGTTGCCATTTTGTTATTTCCCTACCCCTCCCCACATTAGAAAAATGTATAAACAAGATGCAGGGTACAAATTGTTGATCTTAAGGGAGGGGGATTTTCGTAGTCTGAATTGTCACCATACATTCTCCTACAGATAACATTCTAAATTCTAATAGAAAAGTGCATTGTCAGCCTCAAGATTTTAATTTTCAGAAAATGAAACAGCCCCTCTCCATCACAGATGTTTTATTTTTGAGATTATAGTAGCCAGGCTAATCTTGAACTCTAGGCTCCCATGATCCTCATGTCTCAGCCTCCTGAGTGCTGGGACTAAAGGCCGCAAGCCACTGGGCTGGGTTACCTGGCTCCATTTGTAGGCTACCAGACTCTGTCAACTAATTCTACCCCACAGTTTGCTTTCTTGATACAAGGACTTGCTAAATGATATCCATGTCACTTCTTACTCCCTATTTTAGAAGTACAAAACTCAAATAGATATTGCTTATAAACTAGAAGTACAAAACTCAAATAGATACTGCTTATAAACTATTTTTCTAATATTTATAATTTATATTATAAAATCATGATGGGGTCAACCATCTTTCCATATTGCTCCTCAGGTGGCTCTTCACATAGCAGACAACCACTGGGCTGTATTCCACAGAGACAAATTGAGAAGTTTCACCAAACATACTTGGAATTCTGCAGTACTCAATGTGAAGTCCACTGACAGAACCTGCACGGCTGCCCAGCACCCAAATATTCATATGAGATAGGAAATTTCAGAAGAAGATTCAGGACACAAAGTTGTCACATTTATACAAAAATAACTCTCCAATTACTGAGTGAATTTATCATTTATTCATTATTCAGTTCAACAAGTAATATGTATCCTTAGGTATGTAGCAAGCTCAGCTAGCTTTTTGTTTTCACTCTATACTATGTCCTTACTCCCAGTTAACCCCCAAAGTATCACTGAAAATTCAAGTTTTGACAGAAATAACAGATCCCTTGAAAAACCAGCAACTTCTTCTGTGACTGTGAACTGTAAGATGCTACTATTAGCATCACACTATCATTCTTTACAGAAGAATGATTAATGGCCTCCCTTTGACAAATATTATTTAAATAGAGAGCTTCTGGAAATGAAAATTTAAAGAATACAGACGGCAAACACCAAGTTTCCAGTGTTGTCAGTACACACCTCCCCAGCTCCTGCCATTTGAACATGGATTTAAGAAATTTGTGACTGCCAATGAAAAGCTTAGATACCACAGCACATGTTTTTACCGTCCAAATAAACTATCATGAATCATAAACAAAGACTGCAGATCCTTAAATATTGTTCCAGAAGAGCCTGAAGTTAAAACAGGCAAAAAGAAAAATTCATGAACAGGCAACAGCTGCTAAAAGTAATTATAATATTGGATCTTGATTATGAGACTGCAGAAGAAACATGGCTTTTTACAAATGCAAAATCCCCTATGACAAACATTTACTATGGTAAGGACCAGAAAACAGAATAGAGATAAATGATTTTTCCCTTTTCCCACCCACAACATTTTTGAGTTATGAATTATGAATTATGCACCAACTGATAAAGCAGAGAGGAAATTAATTTAAAAGATGAGATCTATTTTGTAATTCACAGAGCTGTTTTATTTTAATTTGGGGGGGTATTTTCATGTTTAATTTTAGCAAACATCTTTCTTTCTCTGAAATGAATTGCAATTTTCCATTATTTCTCTAAGGAATACTAAGTTGTTTATGCCAAAATTCAGAAGGCAAGTCAGCAACACAATCATGATCATTTGGAAAACACTGCCCAGTTGAGCTTTCTACACTGATAGAAATATTCAACTTGCACACTGTCCAGTGTAGTAGTTCCTGGCCACATGTGGCTTTGGAGAATTTTGGAATGACTCTAGTTGGACAGTGTAGTCTAGATGAAGAGAGGTTGAAGAAGGACCTTCCTCTCAGCCAGCTAGAACAAGCAGTTGCATCCTGCTCCTGGGAAACCTCAATGCACCCTTTGACAGCTTAGACCAAAAGAGCTGTGAGCAAAGCTCAAGGGAGCTTGTTTGAGCAAATATGCCCATTAATGGGATCAAACAGATGGGAAATTGCAAAGATTGGCCTTGCAGACCTCTGTGCTAATTCCTGTGCTTCCCTGCTGTGGCATATATTCCCCAGTGCCTTTTCAGAGCCAGTTCTAAAGGGATGCAATGGTTTGACTTTCCAGAAGTCCACATGCTGTGAAGACTGGAAAAGGAGAGTTCAGTGAGAGGGCCTGTAAATATACTGGGATAAGATCTATCAAGTGTTGTGTTGAAAGGAGAAACTCTACAAACAAAAGAAATAGGGCTATAAAAAAAAGCCCAGCTGTATTTTTAACTACAGATAGTTGGAAATAAACAAATGTGCTTTGGCATTTTATGAAACACTATTCCTTCTTATCAGGGAATGTGCAGTTACTAATAGCAGTCCCCAAAGCAAATGACTATTTCCCAACTTCATTTCAAGGTTTCTGTTAGTTTACTAGAAGATTCCTAATGGCTCCTGGTGCCTGTTGTTTCTTTGTTGGTGCTGTTCTTTATCTGCATGAAGCTTTAAAAGGCCAAGAATTTAAGAGACATTCAGTTTTAATGGCATCTCCTGAGATAGAAGAGTTGGGATTTAAAAGCAATCATCGTTCCCCTAGAGATGCTGACGATTTCTGAACTTAAGTAACTTCCTGTCAATAGCATTTCAGTAGCAAAGATTGTTCCACATAAACACATACCTGGAGAAGCAGATCAGAAGTTGGTCGAACTCGCTGTTGGAACAGGATGCTTAGTGTTCGGTTTTGTCGTTCCAAATCAAACACTCTTGTTTTCAACTTTACACATTCCTCCCTTAGATCCTATAACAAACACATCGAAGGGGAAAAAAAAGTCTATAGCTGAAAGACATCTTTGTATATCATAGTCATATATTAGATGATACTTCAGAAACATTAGTCAAAAATAGTACTTCATTTCTTCAAAGCCCCAAGAAATAAATCAAAAATAACATTTTCTTCCACAGACCATTGTCTGATAGAATTATTATGTTCTATAAAGACCTTTTTTTTTTAAAAAAAAAAAAGCACCTTGAAATCCAAAATGCATTAATGTAGCATGCTATTTTTGAAGATGGTAAATCTTAGCGATATAAAGTCAATTTAAGTTTCCTCCTATATATTTTGCCTTTTCACTGTCTTCATAAAAGCAATCATAAAGCACAAACCACAAGGACAACAATGTTTTCTGCAATGAATAGAGATTTGATGAGCGAAAGAAACTATCACTTTTGAAGGAGCCTTTTGATGCCATTTGTGAAAACATGCTGAGATTCCTGACACTATAGCTAATAGAGTCAGGGATGCATTTAGTGGGAAGGGGTCACGGAAGAGAAGGCTTTTAAAAGGCCAGTAGTAACTTGCTCATCCTGTGAGTAGATGTCCATATTGTCTGGAGGAATTTGGTCCCTGTTAGCTCACCTGGGCCACCTTTTAATAGTAACTTGCTCATCCTGTGAGTAGATGTCCATGTTGTCTGGAGGAATTTGGTCCCCGTTAGCTCACCTGGGCCACCTTTTCGAAGCACTTTTGAATAGTTGCAATGCCTCCAAGACCTTTTCCCCAGCTACTAGGCAGGGAGCTCACCCCTGAGGCATGAGGGTTCACTGGAGCCCCATTAAGGAGCTCCTTCTTAACCCATCTATGATGAAGGACTTGTGGGTCTCCAGTTCAAAAGCCAACCCTTTTCCTATTTTAAACAATATTTTTTACAGTTTTATTCATATATAGAAATATATTCTCCTGTCAAAGCACAAAGAACAGGGTCTGCTTGTTCTAGAAAGCTCTATGTATCCTGGTTTCTGTGGTCTTCCCATGACATCCGTGTTTCCCAGGGCCACTGTTTCAAGTCCAGTTCAAATATTACTACCTACCACACCTGCCAAGACTGCTCCCTTTTCTGAATTCCATGTCTCCTTTACGGTAGTTAGCATACTACTGAGCATTCTCTTGTTTCAAATTATGTTGCTTTCATCTTTCATACTTTAGGTTACATTGTCATCTAGATGACACATTCTTCAACAGGCAACATAAAATGATTCCAAAATGAACACTCATAAAACAACCCTCTGCATTTATTATAAATATTGCTAGCAGTGAGGATGATGTGGAAATCTAGTCTGCGGATGTCTGTTTTTACAAGGGGAGGCTACAGGCCATTGTTAAGGGGTTGTACAGAAGAAAGAGCACAAGTCAACAGCTCTGATTGCAAGGCCAAAGTGTCAGTACAGAGGCCAGTGGGCCTGTCCTAAAACCTTGCATCAACCTGACCATGAAGCTAGAACAATGTAACTATGGAAGATGTACCAAGCCTGTGTCATCACATCCAGTAGCACTGATACTACTTGCAGGGGTGTAGCTCCCAGCAAAGTGTGTCCTTAACTTACTTGTGGGGTTAAATGGATATAATTCATGTATAGGATGTTGCTGAGTTATGCCTACAAATGCAGGGTAGGGAAACACAAGACCATGTCTTAAATGAGGGACCTGGGAATAAGAGCCAACAGGGCATGAACAGTAGTGTGAGTGCATCCTTAGGGGTACTTGCATTGTCTGGCCGTGCTCCCTGCCAAGGGAGTTCTGTCAAGTTGTAAGACAAGCTTTGCTTTCTGTAGATTTCATCCTCTGTCTGTTTCACTTATGCTAAGTTTTATTCTTAGCATTTGTTTAACACTTCCTGCTCTCTGACACTAATTGTTTTCATTACTACTAATTGAGTAATTAATAAAATCTGACTGAGGGGTATATAAATATGACCAGCATCCATTGGCTGGGAAAATGTAATTATTCCCGCTTGATTTGGAGACAAATGCAAATGAGTGAGTATGGATTTTTGAGGAAACCAAGGCCTGAAAACAACTAACACATTTTTTAGCAGCAAAACTGAGGAAACTTTAACAAGATTTTTATATGGATAAAATAATAAAAAAATTCATATACTTCACAGAGAGGTTTTTAAAAAAATATAAGTGGCTCCCTTTCAATAATCATTAATTTCAACAATCATTAATGTTCATCATTCACTTGTGAAAACACACCTGTGAACCCTAAGGACTCTAGTTTTCATTATTGGTTCACTGAGCTGAGCACATTGTTGGGGAGGAAAGCTGTAGGAATGTGATATTAGTCTTACGATTATTGACAAATTAGAACTGAGCAAATGTGAAACTATATAGACAGATAGAATGGGTTGGATCATGTGTGTGTGTGTGTGTGTGTGTGTGTGTTGGTACTGGAGCTTGTAATTAGGGCCTCGTGCTTTTTTTTTTTTCATTCAGGGCTGGTGTTCTACCGCTTGAGCCACACAACCACTTCTGGCTTTCCCCTAATTAACTAGAGTCGTTAGGTGTTATATACCAAGGCTGGCTCTGAATTGAAATTCTCCTAAGTAGCTAGAATTACAGGTGGGTGAAACCTGGCTCTGTGTGTGTGTGTGTGTGTGTGTGTGTGTGCACACGTGTGTGTGTGCTTTAATATTCTTATTATGTTTAGTCATGTGTGAATGGTTGTTGATAGAAGACAGCTGTTGCCTCATTTGTTGTAATAAATACAAGCATGTGTGCCTACTAAATGCAATTAAAGAGGGCACAAAAAGAGGAAAATAACACTCTCTGGCCAATATGGTGATATCTGGACAGAAGTTTGCATCTGATTACTTTTCCACCCTCCCAATAAGAACCTACTAACATACATAAGCAGGATGACATATTGGGGGTGGGTATAAGAGCTACTATTCTGATTTTGTCAGTGAGAAGCAAAACCTAGAACACCAACCTAAGAAAGCTTTAGAAATGACATAGCTCTCCTGTGTAGAAGCCTAAGATTGTGCTCATATGTGGAGGCAGAGGTTAGAACATCTGTCCTTACTCATAACCTTTCATTACTCTCTGTGACTCAGGCCTTCAGAAGTGAATTTCACTGAAAATACAGATGTGTTTTCTGATATCAAAAGGGGATGAGATGTTTAATTTTACCATGGGAAAATAATGTCCAACATTGGATGATGCTCAGCATCATCGAAGGAAGAACAATAGTCTTTGGGTTCAAGAAATTAGCCACACCTATTTTCCTTGCAATGTGAATATCATTATCAACTGGAAATAGAGACTAATGGATCCTAGCTGGGTGCAAAAGGCCAATATATTGAGCAGTGTGACATACATGCTTAAAGCATTTCAGTCCACCTGAATGATCCTCAGGTGTAATTTCTCTGGAAACTCCATGCCTGACATTCAGGTAATTTTCACCTACACTTATGCAGAAGATTCTGGACCACTACTATCCAGTTCCTATGGGAGTACAGTTATTTTATACAACTTGAAAAGCAACACTGTTACAACCTGAGTCTGAAGTTAACTGGAAAAATCATAAGCTGATTGCTTAGAAACAAGACTTAAGCCAGGCTCTGATGGCTCACACATAAAATCTTAGCTCCTAAAGAAGCTGAGATCTGAGGACCTACAGCCCAGGCAGGAAAGTCTGAGCCTCTTATCTCTAGGTAACCACCAGAAAACTGAAAGTATAACTGTGGCTCTAAGTGGTAGAGTACTAGACTTGAGCAAATTAGCCTTGGGGCAGTGCCCAGGCCCATAGTTCATGCCTTATGATTGACAAAAAAAAAAAAAGAAAGAAAAAAAAAGAAAAGAGAGAAAGTAAGAAAGAGAAGAAGGAAGTAAACTTGTGTTATCACTGTTCTTGAAAACTATTAAATCTATGTGCTGTAAAATATCATAATGCTATTTCTATTTCAGAAGTGTATCATGGAAATACACTATTTGCTGAATTTGGTGTGACTATAAATGCCCAGTAAATAGAAACAAACCCTCTTTAGTAACCAGACTACCCAGACCACTGCTAAACTGGAGAGAGATGGGCCAATAAGCCCTTCATACTGCTGGATGCTATCCTATACCAGCTTAACTAGATGTTGCTGGAGAAAAAAACTCTAGATAGATGTTTAGATACTCTAGTAACATGCAGATAAAACTGAAATTGTTGATGTAGCAGAGATTTAACTATAGAGGAAATGCTTTTCCAAGTTTGGTTTTAATAGCAAAGCAACATAATCACTGAAGAGCCTAGGAAGGGTACTTTTGCAGGAAGTATAATTGATGTAATGATGATAAAATACATTTCAGATACAATATGAGCTTACTCTGTGCTTCTGATTCACTTAAACTTGTAGGCTGGGACCAATGATTTGGAGGGAAAAATGCAAGTGAACAGGTTTTACATCATTCTCATTTCAGTGTTATGGACTGAAAGGTGTGCACTTTGCTCTTTTAAGGGAATCCATATGAGATTTTTGTTGTTAGCTTCCTTTTTTGTCTTTTTGTAATAACTGAATTGCTAGAGCAGAACAATCTATGTTTATATAGCAAAATAGTAAGCTTCTGGCAATGAAGTTGTCTTTTCCCATAAATATTTGTTGATTCTGGTACTTGAGGATGTCAGGTTAAGCCAATTCATTATATGATATGAAAAAAAAAGCTTTTTGGCTGTTCGTTGAAGAGCTGAAATTGTGACACAATAGCCTTTGTGTCCTAAAACAATAATGTATCTTCAAACTGTAAGGTTTGTACTTACTGTCACACAGACTTTTTTTTCCTTGAGTGTTTGGAGAAACCACCAAAAAGTCTGTAATTTGCAATCTGGGCCAATTCTTAATCATTTGTTTTCTCATCTGTATGTGAATTGTGTCTTATTTCCTATACCATGCTCTTCATTAAAAAGAAATCTTTGTTTTTTGGCAGCAGTTTTACCAGCTCTACAAAAACCAGAGGCACACAATTTCTGAACATATTCTTGAGAATCTCTTAATATCCCCTGCACCTCTCCTTGCTTCCTGGGGTTCCTGAGATATGCAAGCTCACAATAATGTCTTTCTGTGTCTTATCCCTTAATTGTGACACAGTGAATTTATCTATTTACTTGCTTATTACTTGTTTTGTGTAGCTACTTGTGTGTGTGTGTGTGTGTGTACGTGTGTGTATGACCTGATGAATCTGTTTTTGTTTTTAATTTAATTTTATCATCAAAGTGATGTAGAAAGAGGTTACAGTTACATTGTCACCGTCCCTTGCTTTTCTCCCACTTTTCCTCCCCCTAAACACCACCCCCCACAACTTCCTTGCCTTTCTTCAGGTATAATTAAAGAGACAGGTATGAGATGTCTTTCAACACAGAGTCAGAACAGTGCTCCCTCATACTGTATTTTATGCTAAAATGAACATAGTTTCCAAAAGCAGAAGAACAACAGAGAAATTAAAACCTTTGAATTTATCCATGGAAAACCATGAAAGCAACCAGGGATCATACCAGGTACCATACTAGCCATGTACTGTCTACTTCTCTCATACTTATATGTGAGAAGGAAATAACATTTTAGCTTATTGAAGCTACTAATATTGTAGATTACTGGTACAGCAATGAAACTTAAATCTAATTCTACATAAAAGTACTTGAGTCTCTTTATATGATGCTAGGGTAAAATCTGAAGCAGTTAAAATTATTTGTAGAAGAAAATGTGACATTTTGACATAAGTAGGTGTGGAGAAATGTACAAAAATGCTAATATTGAAATATCTCCTTCTGGGAAGCAGACGATCACTGATAAAAGTAATTTTCAATAAAACAGGGGGAGCACAGTCATAAAATTCAATGCATATTCTAAAATGTTTTAAAAAATGAGGTCAGAGGTAGGGTTGGAGGGCTGGGGGAGAAAGATGAAAGGCGGAACATTGATCACGATTGTATAATCCAAGACCAAAACAAAATTAAAAGTCACACTAAATTAGATAAGTAAAAATAAATTTTGCTTTTGTTAATCACTTCTTCCTGGACATTTTGAGATTTGCTTTGGAAGAGGATGCATCTGCTTTATAGAAGGAGATTTAGAGGGAACAAAATCTAAAGGATTTTGTTTAGCCCTTCAGAGATCATAGCCAATAAGATTGGCCAAATGAACCAGCCAAATCTGGGCCAATAGTGACCTGACCCTAGAACCTGATCTTATGTTGCCTGAATAAGGCAATGGACCAGGGCAACAGAGTACCACACTTCCCAATGATTTGATATTTACCCGAGTGACTCCCAGAAAAAGTGTTCCACATTACCTTTCATAGAACTATCACTTGTGTGAAGGAAGATTGCTATCCATACAGCCCTTATAGCATAACTAAAGCACAGATAAATCAAACCAATTCTATAACCTCAAAAACACTCTGTGCTGAATTGTATGTTCTTTTCAACATCCCCAAGAGGACATTCATATCACAGGCATCAGAATTATCCACGTATTTATTTAAAGTCTGTATTCTTTCAATGAAAAAGATGAGCCTGCTACTGATTTGATACTGGAAATCCTTCATTTTCAACAGGCATTCTACGTCTTTCCAAAAGCCTGATTCTATTGGCCATTCATTGCAGTTAATTCACATATCACTTAAAACAAGCAGCCTTTAACCTAGGTGACTAAGAAGAAAAGTCTTGCAACTATTAATCACAATTCCCCAGGCAGGCAGAGTGAGCTGTTTTCTATTCACAGAAGTACTCTGAAAAGGTGGGGCGGGGGGAAGGGTGGAAGGTAAAATGTGACCTACCTTTTGAGTGAGCAGAGCTTGAACAACTTGGTTGGCTACCTTTAAAAAAAGAAAGAAAGTTGCCATTTATAATAATGAGACTTTATACGCCTGAACTGTAATTTACCAATAAGCTTCTCACAGCTTACTATCTCTAATGAGCTCCTCATCCCCTCTTCCCTCTACTCCTGAAGATCTCATTTTTTCTTAATAAGCATGTCCTTCTAAGTAATTTTTGCTATTTCCAAGGGTGACCTTGTTGCTAATTAAGATGGTTCAGCTGGAAAACTCATTCATACCTTGACTTTCACATTTCCATATTTGCAAAAATAATATCCTTTCATGTGTAAAGTACTCCAGGAAAGCTAAAAAAAATGAAGCAGTGCAAAATGTAACCCTAATTATCTGTACACAGTTTCTATACTTTGCTGGTTGACAATGTCCTTTTCCTCTCCTTCCTATTCTTTTGCTGTATCTTGCACTGCTTAAATTTCCTTACAGCAGAGCAAATGGCAAATTATAACAACTCCCTATTACCTGAGTGAACTGCTGCTCTCCTGCATGCTCTTCTCCAGGCCTTTCTACTATGGCTGCCATCTGGAATTGTCTGGAGGTTGTTTACTCCAACATCCCCTTTCCCTTCTTATTCGGTAACAAGCTGTAATTGAATTTGTTGGAGCACTTCCAACTATATTTGCTGGCCTTCCTTTTAACCACATGCCCTACCTGACAAAATTCTGGCCCATCACATAGCCGAAACAGGCTATTTTCTTGAGCTTACAGGATATCTGTAAGCAAAGGGCCTGGCTTCTGCCTTCCTGTCTAGACCATAAAAGTGATGGCTGGATCTGTCTTGCAATCAGAATCACGTATTAAGTATATGTAGGTAGAAAAATAAGACAAGCCTGTTCTTGCCGGTGTCATGGGAATATATTCTTCATGAAAGGAACAGAATACTCGGTATTTTGGGGGGATTCCTTCCATTATGCATTAAATTACTAATATAATTTAACAGAACAGATTTCTTCAGGAATCAGGCAGCTTGGGAAAGTCAGAACCCTCCTCAGACGGAGAAGAATTGTAGTTATTTTCAAACAATCTGGACATTGCATTCCCATTCAAGGACTGCTTCAGGAGAGGGTATGTGATGCCATTCAAGCAAAGAACTATATAGATCTGACATAAAGATCTGGAATTTTCTCCACATGACTGTTCATCATCACTATATATTTGTATTCAAATTTTTCTTCATTTACAGATTTAAAACACTTGACAACTGGGCATTGGTGACTCATGTCTGTAATCCTCACTACTCAAGTGGCTGAGATTCATAGACAGCCCAGGTAGAGTATGTGAGACCCTTATCTCCAATTAACCAGTAAAAAGACAGAAGTACAGAAGTAGAGGTGTGCCTTAAGTGGTAGAGCATCAATCTTAAACAAAATGCCAAAGGATATAATTTGTAAAGAAATTAATGGTCCTGGAAAAAATTATGTTAAGTGAAATAAGTCAGGCCCAGAGGGACAAAGGATCCATGGATGTTAGATATAACTTACAAATATACAAGTAAACATGAATGGAGTTGTATGTATACATATAAATATATTAACCAAAGTATGGTTGGTGTAACTCCGTAGGAAAAAATAACTCCCAGGGTACTCACATCATACTTGAGATGTGTATGGGAATCAAAGGGAGGGGGGCTAGAAAAAAGAAAAGAAAAGGAGAGGAAAATGAAGTCTTAACATTCAATGTATATCTATGAAACTAGAAAATTAAGAAAATTGAGGGAAAGGGTGAATTGAGAGGGATGAGAGAAAATAATGAATGATCTGACATTGATCAAGACGCATTATATTTATAAACTGTCATGTTGAATGGTAACCCCTTTGTACCACTACTTATAGATTATTTTTTAAAAAAGTAACAGAAACCAGAAGCCAAATGAGAAACTTAGGCCTTGAGTTCTCTGTCACAAAATAAAACAAAAACAAATCCACTTGACAAAAAAATCATCGATTCAACTTCACTATAACCTTGAAGCTATGCATCCACATGACTATGGTTGATAAAATTCAGAGTAGCAACTGTGTTCCCAAATTAGATGATATTAGGTAGCTATGGGTATTCTTAAGCCAGTATATAAATTGGGGTGGGAGGGTAAGGGAAAGTGGGAAAAAATGAGAAGGGGTGTAACAATGTTCAACAAGAAATGTTACCTTACTTATGTAACTGTAACCTCTCTGAACAATACATTTACAATGAAATTAAAAGAAAATAAAGACCAGCCTGAACATTAAAATAGCCTAGATATGTTACTGGTATGCATTCATCTCTTCATTCATTCAGTATAAAAGTTCTACATATCTGCTTATGTGGTTAATGTTTGGGATGTAGTGATGTATGTGAACTGCTATCTGGTAGTAGATTCATAACTATAGTTACAGTGATATTCATGCCATCATCATGTAAACATGTCTTACCATGGGACACATGCTCATCTCCCTTTACTCTGTGACAAACTTATTTTTGGTGATGTTAAATGATGTCTTGTTGCCCCCGAACAGAATTGTGAAGCAGATCATAGTGAGAACATGTGCATGGAACTTAATTGTTTCTTGACTCAATATTGATGAAACAGGCTATCATTAATGGCAACCAGTAGGTCTCCAAGAAAATTAAAACACAGGCTGTCATCAATTTTTGGTTGGAAGATATTCACACCATAAGCAGTAATAGCCACAATCACATTATTCTCAATTTATTAGTTAAACTTCATGCACAAAGAGTTTTATTTTTCTATCAGAAGACTTTCAAAATTCACCTCTTTGATATTAAAAAGAAAAACATTTCACTGAAACCAACTATGGTTTTAGAGAATTTTTTTTAATTTCTAAATTAAAACATTTTCATTGTAATAATAAAGGTGATATACAGATGGGTTCCAGTTATATAAGTCAGGTAATGAATACATTCCTTTTTGGATAATGTTACCCCATCCTTCATTCTCTCTACATTTAGAAAAAAATATTTTTAAGAATTTCATTTAAGAAGCAAACTCAAGGGTGGTTATTCAGGTATATACAAATGTATTAACTGAAATATGGTAAATTCAAGGGAGAACTTAATGTAAGTCCTAAGAGAAGCATAATCAAAATTCAACAAAATAAGCACCAGAAATAGGGTACTTCATAAGGATGGGACCAAGAGGAGGGGAGTAGATGAATGAAGAGAAGTAGAGAAGAATGCAGTAAAAATACAAGGTGTAGTCTACAAAATTAAGAAAACGAGGGAAATGGTGACTAAGAGAGGGATGAATGAGAATGTTGGAAAGGGTGACATTGATCAAGATGCATTGTATTCACAAACTGTTTTACTGAGTGACAACTCCTTTGTACAGCTACTTATGGATAATAAAACAACATACATCATCCTAAAATAAATCTAAATGAAAATGATTATTTTTCAGTTTAAAGGAAGCAAACTGAATATTTATCTTAGACTTCACTTCCTTAACTGATGCTTTATTTTCCCTTTAACTGTTTATTCATACTTAATCACAGGAGTGACAAACGGTTTTTGAGCCCACACAAATTGACCCATACTCTTACTGTGAAAGTCTTTTAGTTCTTAAACATTCCTTCCAATTTGGAAATAGCTGAAAAGTCAAAGTCAAACAATACATCATCTGCTTTATTGCTGGCAAATAAAACAAAATAGTAGAATTGAACTATCCACGTGGGTTGAATCAGAAATAATGTACCGAAGTTAATTCATACTATAAATAATTTACTTATTTTTCAGATCTCCAACTTTGGATTTGATTTACATGCTCATAAAACTATTGAATACCAATATTTTCTTTTCTTGCGCCCAAACCAGACTTTCACTTAAACCATTCCGTGTACCAGTGGTCCCATAAAAGAGCTCTAGTCATGATTTAATGGGAGACATAGAGTAATATCCTAACTGTAACAGCCCACAGGAGGAAATATGTTATATCTTTGCAGTCCAAGTAGTTGCCCTATAGGCTTACAGACTCTATAGTGGACATAGTTCCTTCTGGCATGTACTTTGGACAATTGTTTTGCTCTACCTGAAAATTGAACAAAGATACAACAATACATTATGTCTGCAGCTACTGACAGGGGGAGTCTATTACCCAGAGGACTCATGGGTTTTTTGCAGAAGAGCAGGCAAGTTGTAAAAATGCTTACCTCCCACACACCAGCCCCATCAAGACAGTTTCTGAGGTTTTTGTTGCTGCTGTTATCCAGCTAAGCTTCCTAGATACATCAACACAACTATTGTTTGGAGCTTTGTGCCTGAAAATTTTGCAAGGCTCACACAATGCCTGGAATGGGCCCTGGTCCATAAGCCTTCAACAATGTGCCCTAAAGCACCTGGATCACACACCAGAAGACTCAAGCTAATGAGAACAAATAACTTCCAGCGGCACCTGCCAGCTCTTGCTCCAAAGAAGGGAAAAATAACAGCTGGGCTGGGCCACAGGGACTTGGGACACATGGAGCAGAGCTGACAGCCTTATGTCCCAGGCTTGTATTCCAGTCTCCCTGAAGCTCTCTGAGGAGATCTCCCCACTCTGCTCTTAGGAGACGGAGAGGGGCTACAGGTGAGATGCCTCAGTACCTTTCCCTTCCTTATCACAGAGAATTCTATCAGGTAACCAGCTGCTTTCTATACACAAGAGACAGTTCTTTCTCCCATCTGCCAGGCTTTCAGGGTCCTCTGGAAGGTGCATAAGGGGAAGGGAAGGTGGAGATACTGAGTTCTCTATTATTTGATTACCAAAAGGCCCAGAGGCCCAGACCTTAGATGAACCAATTCCCACCAGTTAAGAACACAGCCCAGCCAGGCGCCAGTGACTCACACCTGTAATCCTAGCTACTCAGGAGGCTGAGAGCTGAGGATCGCGGTTCAAAGCCAGCCCAGGCAGGAAAGACTGTGAGATTCCTATCTCCAATAAACCACTAGAAAACCAGAAGTGGTGCTGTAGCTCCAGTGGTAGAGTGCTCGCCTTGAGCTGAAGAGTGCAGGAA